GGGACTCATGTAAACGTTTACTGTAAGTTTTAAAATTTGAAGGAAAAATGATGTAAGATTTTGATTTATACACTAAGTCTTGGTCTGGACGAATGAAAGCACACCTTTACAGACTTTCCAAGGTAACAGCTGTTTAGAGGAAATGCACCTCTTCGAATACACACCAGAGGAGGGGCCAGCAGGTGGCTGCAGGGTAAGGCGCTGCGTCTTACAAGGTAGACAGCGCCGTTTCCGACAGGCACCTTGAAAATCTCGCTGGGTGTGTGTGTGCCTGCACACAGTCCCTGGAGGAGGCTGAGAAGGGATTGCAGCTTTAGTGTGTTTCTGATACTCATTAAAAACATTTTTTCAACTGTTTGCTTTAGTTTACTTTGAACTTGGGACCCTTATTCTCCTTAACAGATTTCATTCCATGTGTTTGAATTTTTGGAATGTTAGCACATTTCCAACAGTAGAAACTGTGGAAGGAAATATTCCCCAAGAATGGCTGTCACTGCCACTCCATCTGGCCTCACTGCCCACTGCAGGCAGTCTGTTGATCCTAGGAGAGGGGGATTTACTCTGCTCTTATGTAAATTTAACTTTTGTTTTGTTTTGTTTTGTTTTGTTTTCTAGTCTGTGCTTATTTTCTATCTCATGGGTTTATATCGTTATTTATATGTTAAATTTCAAATATTTTAACCCTTACAAGATGTTATTAATTTAATTCATATTCATTTAGACAACCACAACCATATAGGTGTTCTTTGTTTGTTTTATTTATTTTTTGCTTCTCTTTCATACATGGTTTTTTGAACTTTTATCTGGTATTATTTCCCATCTACTTGAAAATATATCGTATAGATATATCAAGATATACAGACACACAGTAAACTAAGCAAATATGATTGTTGTATAATATGATTTTTAACAAATGTTTATATGTAAAAATTCAACCACAGCGAAGGAAAAGAGCATATTTACCACTGGACATGCTCCTGTGTTTCTCTGCGTAACCCAGCCTCACTGTCCCCATTCCCAAGGACAAGTGAGCTTCCTGTCATCGCAGTTCAGCTTGCCTTTTCGAAATTTTTTACAAGTGGAACTAAGTTGTGTATGTTCCTTTTGGTTTGCGTCGTTCACTTAAATTAATGAGGCATAGGTATATTTTGCATATATGAGTAGATCACTTTTTAATTTTCACAGCGTAATATTCACCTTACAGGTATGTTTTCTTTACTCATTCACATATAAAGCACGTTTTTGTTTTTGTTTGTTTCTAGCAATTACAAAAACATTAGCTCTGAATATACATGAATAGCTCTTGGTGAGGACATAGCTTTTTCCCCCCATGAGCCTCTGGACCCCACTTTAAAACAAAGGAGCTCTTCATTTCTTTTTTTTTTTTTTTCACTTCACAGTAGTTACATTTTCTTTTTCTCATTAAGCATTCTGTTACCTTCTGACCCTGTAGCTACTGCCCCGAAATTGCTTTCTCTGTGATGTGGGGGACAGTCTGGACGATGTCTTGGGCAAGAAAGGATCCCTAGGGGCACACTGGGGCACCCAAAATGTGTACGTGTGCAAGGGTATCTCCAGAGTGTGTGGGAAAGGGAAGTGAAGTGTGAATGTATTGTGGTGCAAACACCTTTTAAATCCATACTCAGTGTCTTTTATAATACGTGGTTTTCATGAATATTTTTAAGATCCTGGATAGCTCCTCTTGGTGATGGTGATGGGGGTAGGAGGTTCTAGGTTCAAGTCTGGAGGCCTCCTTCCTGAGCACACCAGGCACACATGTGCCCAGGATCTGATCAGGGCAGCTGGGGTGGAGGTGGGTCATAAGGTCAAAACCCTGTTGAGGTGCTGTTTCTCTCTGTTTCTGTTGCTCACAGAAGAAGTACATAAACTGTGGATAGGACCAGCAGATGGTGTAATGGTTACATCACTGGACTCCCATGTAGTCCACTGTGGTTTGAGTCCTGGATCCAGTAGCTTAAACCTCATGCCAGGTGTGCTTGCATGCATGCCCAAAATCCTGGGAGGAGAATGGAGGTGAACGGATTGCAGTGTGCCCATCCCCCCTGGGGAGTGATTTCTTGATTTCTGTCTTTCTCTGTCTCTCTGGTGAGCGCACGCAGACTATAGCAAAAATCACTCTAAAAAGAAAGAAAAAACAATGCTGGGTTGCCTATGAATAGTGATGAAGTAGAAAACAAAACGAATTCAAAGGTATCAGCCTTTCAGACTGAATAGTGATGATGATAAGATTATCTCAGTGTCTTTCTCCCCTTAAAGTGTATGAATTAAAACTTTCCATTTCCTATTGATATATTCCAGAATTCAAGTCTGCATTCACAAGGCAGTAATCAGTGATAAAGACAGATTTTCTTTTCTTTTCTTTTCTTTTTTTTTTTTTTTTTTGGAGAGGTAAGAAAGTGCATGTGTTTACAAGAAAAGGCAAGAGAGAAAGAAAGTGAGAAAGAACCTCCCCATGTGGGATGGCCATGATGCAATCCCTTCTCCTCTGTTTCCCCTTTTGGGGTTTTAGGCACACACATACATATGTGAGGTGTGTTCCTCAAGCCACCAAGTCTGGGGCCTGAATCGTGCTGTTTGGACCCGTTGCATTAACCTCCACTCCCCCAGCTGGGTGGTGGTGCTATTCATGATATTTTTATGAAAACTCAGTGTAACAGTATTTCAAATGAACATAGGAATATAAATTTAATGTACAAAATATAAATTATATCATTTATTCTAACAAATTTACTCCATAGGATAATACACAGACAGAATAAAACCTGATGTTTAAAAAAGATTTCCTAAATTAGGATGCAGTTTAAACACTTACAAAGGTCCCCTTGCATACACTGATTTCTCAGTAAAAATAGGTACGTAAATCTATCATCAAGTTTATAAAACAGCCTATATGTGAATGTCCACTCTGAAATATTTGCCTCCTTTACATTGAATAAAATTTCAGGTTTATAATCAAAATGCAGTTAAGTATTGTTCGATGCTGGACTGACTTTTTCTCCTTGGGAATTTTTAGTCTTTGATTCACATTTGAATTTGTGTTATACTATTACTCTATTTTATAAAGATCTCCATCAGCACAGACTCTGAAATTTAAGGTAATTTGTTCTGTGCATCCTGCCTAAAAATGTAATATTTTATTATTATTATTGCCAAATTTGCCCTTTTCCATAGAAACTACCTCACCAGTTTTTGAAAGTAAGATAAGATCTGAGACTGCAAAAACAAGACAGTGGCATGAGAAGGAGGGAATGGGGCAAGAGTGCTTCCTTCCTGTGTCTTGGACTGGAGCGGGGCGTGCGCTCCCTGAGAGCTCGCTGGGAGCTGTCCGAGACCCACAGCCCCGTGCTCCTATAGCAAATCAAGGATTATACTTCAAAAACTAGGCACTCAGAAAGATATTTTTATTAAAGTTGGCATACATCACAGAAAATCACATATTGAAGTTTAAAACAAAGGAATGTTTTGCTTTGTTTTGTTTTGTTTTTTGTAGAGGTTTTTGCTATAGGGCACGTGTGCCCACCAGACAGACAGAGAGAGACAGAGAGACAGAAAGCGAGAAATCACCCCCCAGGGGGGATGGCCACGCAGCAATCCCTTCTCCTCCATTCTCCTCTTGGGATCCTGGGCACACACGCACACGCGCCCGGCGAGAGTTTAAGCCACTGGGTCTGGGACTCAAACCGCAGTCGACTATGTGGGAGTTCAGCGACATAGACATTACGCTAACTGCTGGTCCCAAACCAAAGGAAATTTCAAGCATACAACAAACACTTTATTTTATTATCTTGTCATTTAAAACTTAGTTACATAAAATAGTGCTTCTCAAGAGTTGATCAGTCACTGCTGACCTTATTCCAACACATAGTCTTCCCCAAAGTCAGGGGTGGGATTTGCTCTCTCAGGGGCTCTGCTTCTGGTGCATGACCACACTTGGAATTGCATTTAGGAGCCCACCCCAGGGAGAACACTGAGTCAACATAGTTTCTGTGGGAGCTTATTTGTGGTTTTATATTATCTAGCAAAATCTCGGTTAATACTTTTCTAATAAAGTTATATTGTTGTGTGTGTGTGTATTTATATATAATACATACACATGTAGCAATCCCTTCTCTTCCATTCTCCTCTCAGGATCTTGGGCATGCATGCACATGTGCCCAGAGTGAGTTTAAGCCACCAGGTCCAGGACTTGAACTGCAGTCAACTACATGGGAGTCCAGCGACATAGCCATTACACCAACTGCTGGTCCCTCTCTGTTTATATTTTTAATTAAATCATCATTAATGATAAGACTAATGATTGTTCTCTTATGTGTTTAATACATTTTTTTTGACTGAATGCACTTTTGGCGTTCTAAGAGCTAAGTTGTATTAGTCCGCCTACTGGATAGAGGAACACATTTCCACCCGATAGGGATTTTTTTGTCTATGATTACCATTAAGTTATAAGTTATTAGAATGGCTTGGTGGTTAAATGAACTGGATGTCGTATGTCTAACTTCATGGGTTCGAGTCCCAGATTCCACAGCTCACACAAACACCCTGGGCACCAAGCTTGAGTGTCTCAGACCCCGGGAGGTGGAAGAGATGGAGGAGAGGGGACTACAGTGAGACTATCCCCCCTGGCATGGGGCTTTCTCCTCTCTCACTCTCTCTGTGTCTCTCTCTGGTGAGCAAATATGCCTCTTGGCAATTTTTTAGAAAATGCAATTGGCTGGAATGTGAGACCAAGGCAGAGCACCTTCTGGGGACACCCTGTGTGCAGGGGCTGTGTTCCTGTCCATCCACTGCCGGTCTGCACTCAGCCTTTTGTAAACCCAGTAAGTATAAAACAGCTGTTCAGTAGCACTGAAACCAAAAGTGTCGGACAGGCTCGCGTTAGGCGGTATATTTCACATGGTACTGACCATTTGCAAACGCGGTTCGAGGAACGGCTCCAAGTCGCTGGTCCTTGGGGCGCCTCAACCCCCGCCTGTGTCTGGTCAGAACTGCCTTCGCGTGAGAACCTTCGCGAAGGCTTTCTTCACGTCCTGGTTCCGCAGCGTGTAGATGAGCGGGTTCACCAGCGGCGTGAGCACGCAGTAGAACACCGAGACCACCTTGCCCACCGTGAAGTTGTACTTGGCGGGAGGGCGCACGTACATGAAGATGATGGTGCCGTAGTAGATGGTGACCACCGACAGGTGCGAGGCGCAGGTGGAGAAGGTCTTCCTGCGAGCCTCGCGGGAGGACAGCCGGACGATGGCCGCCACGATGTGGCCGTAGGACGACATGGTGAGCAGGAAGGAGCTCAGGATGACCACGGAGCTGCACGTGTAGCCCAGGGCCTCCACCAAGAACGTGTCCGAGCAGGAGAGCTTAAAAATGGGGTCTGAGTCACAGAAGAAGTGGTTGATCTTTTGGGGACCGCAGAAGTTCAGACGAGAGATGAGCACGGTGGGTAAGAGAGGGGCGAGGAAGCCCCCGGCCCAGGCTGCGGCCGCCAAGCGCAGGCAGGTGGGGAGCGCCATGAGGAGCGAGTAGCGCAACGGGCTGCAGACGGCCACGTAGCGGTCGTAGGCCATTACGGCCAGCAGGATGCACTCGGTGGCGCCCATGGAGAAGAAGAAGTAGTACTGGACGACGCAGCCGGAGACGGAGATGGTGACCACCCGGGGCAGGCAGGTGGCCAGCAGCTTGGGCACCGTGGCCGTGGTGTACCAGATCTCCAGGAAGGACAGGTTCCCCAGGAAGATGTACATGGGCGTCTGCAGGGTGCAGTCGGTAAGGACGATGAAAACGATGAGCGTGTTCCCCACGAGGGACAGCAGGTAGACGGTGAGGAACAGCACGAACAGTGCCAGCTGCAGAGAGGGCTCTCCCGAAAAGCCAAGAAGAATGAACTCCGTCACTGTCGTTTGGTTTTTCACATCCATAGTTCATCTTCTCCAGACTGGAGGGATCGAACACCACACGCAGGTGGTAAGTGAGCAAGAGCCCAGAACGGAAGATTCTCATTAATTTACTTAGTGATTATAGTGGACCCCTGTCCGTAACAGAAAACAAGAGCTGTTAGAAACATAACTGACGTTTTTATAAACTTTTTACACGGATTACCTCATATAGTTTTCAAAATATATCTCTAGTACAAATATACCAGTTATCTACTCATGAAGAAAATAAGAGAGGAATCATTTTTCCACCGTGACATCACTCTGAAGAGGTGGAGCAGGCTTTGAACCCAGGAAGGTTGATTTAAAAGGCCCAAGCCCAACCTTACACCTAGAGTGTGGCTATGTGGGAGACTGTGGCATTGCCCTGCTCTAGGAACTCACACCATAAAGTACAGAAGGATGAAGCAGTCAGCAGACAATGGGGCCAGGGAACCAGGAACCTTCTCCACCATTCCAGTTACCCCGTGGGGAAGGGTTCCTGTGGTTGTAAGCCCATGGCCCTGACTCATGTCACCAGTTAGATGCTGGAGGGACACAGGTACATGCATGAACCCATCTCCAGACCACAGAGGGTGGGGTTTAAAGTGTATGTGGACATTTTAAAATAATTTTTAAACTTTACTAATACTTGGCTAATTTGTTTTAGAATCGTTGCATCCACCCTCTTTCCTACACTGATAAGGAACGGTCACCAAAGACATTTTTAAAAGAGTCAGAAATCATATTTTTAGAAACAAGGATTTACCGGTTGGTAAATTCATATTTTTAAGTGCCAAAATATTTCAAAAGCATTAAAAAAAAAAAACCTTAGTAGTCAAAACGATTTTGTTTATGACAATGTATATATAAAATACACGTTAAAAATTTTAAAACTATCTGCAGTAAAGATACTAACTTAAATTTCCTGTATCAAAATGAAAATAGCTGAATAAGACAGGATCTGTTGGGTTACTGTCCGCAGATTTCTTATTTTAGACCTGAATGAAGATTCCCAGTTATGAAACTGTGTGCAATCACGTGTAGACTTTTCGTCTCAGTACTCTCTGCTCCTGCCGTGCACTGCTGGTACAGTGGGGAACTTTTCATGGTGCTCATCACAGAAATTATAAGTCAGACCTACTTAACGTATCAGAGAATGCTGGTTTGACCAGAGACACCCTACTCGTCCCATTACATGAACCTGTAGACATTAATTTCCTGAAGAGGCAAGGGCTTTTGTCCTTTTTTCTAAGTCACAAAAATAAAATTATACTACTTGCAGACTATACCATAATTTAAAAGATTTTGAAAATGTTTTTGAATAGATCTTATACCTGAAGAAACTATCTCGATGAAAGAACTTGAACTGATTAATATTTTTCTGTTTGTATCTGGTTTCTTAAGAGTAATATTGACATTTATGCTATTCATGTAAGACCGAGTGTCTCCCGTTGCTATTATGAAGAGTATTGCATGGATATTTTTCTCCCAGCATTACTAGAAAGGCAGAACCTATTATCTGCAAAGAACACAATTAGAGCTGCAGAGCAGAAGGAGGCCAGTGTCACTCCAAAGGGAAAATCCCTTTCCTTTTTCTAAAATAAACATGGTCATCTAACCCTGCTTTCAGTGACAGCAGGGTACACAGTCTTCAGCTGTACACAGCTTTAGAAAGAGACTGGAATCTAGAGAAAGGAATTCTAAGCCAACTACTATTCTTATAAAAATAAAAGAACAGGCATAAAAAGCAACTTATGGATTTGTTTATATTACAGCTTTAAGATATAAGCTCTAATCATTCTTCTTACTTGCCAAAAATGTCTGAGGAAGAATATTGCCCCAGACTATGGAAATACCCAAGATTATCAACACGCCATTGTGTAATAATTTGTCCCACCTTCATCACTCTAGGCAAGGACTAGTGCAGACCATATCTCCTCCTGGTACTCACAGTCTATATTCTGTTTCGTTGTTTTTCAGGAATGTAATGTTATTTGTTAAATATTCTTTACACTCTTTTTCCCCAGTAAATTCATGCAGTGGAGTCATCAGCCTTCATCGGGTCACAAGGGAAATACGCTGAAGAAAAAAAAAAGTTGTCACAGCTGTCACAAAGCATCTGTGAATGAGAAATGCCACGCTTTGTCCCCTGGTCTGCTCTCCCTTAGCTGGAGTCCAGGAGAGGCAAGGCCTCAGGGCCCCTGGGGAGGACGCTGTGACTCCATCAGCCTGGAACCTCTGGGACCTGCCCTCAACCTGGGACATCCCCACTGCTCCCTGGGGCCTTCCCAGGCCAAGGTCAGGGTGCTTCCTCCTGGGACTGAGGAGGAACTGGAACTACAGGAAGGTCGAAAATGAGAGAATAACATCTCAGTGGCTTTGCTAGCTACTCCTGCCCATTCACCCTTCCAAATGGGGGTCAGGAAAGCCCTCCTGGTATTTTTGCTCCACGTAAATGCCCAGAAAATTACTCTCCAGCCCATGAAATATAACCCAGATTAGCAGATACTGTCTTGATTTACAATAACAGTGCTACAAAGCAAAAGCACCAGGACCACTGAATTGGCATCACTTTACAGTGTTTAATGAGTGTGTGTGGAAAACTAACGCTCAGCGGAGCAGAGACCGACAATGAAGCCCTCTCCAAAAAGCTACATACAGGAGGAGGCTGAGTGTGTTCAGGGCACGTAAAAGAGTACAACCCTGGGAACTGGGGAAAATAAAATATCTCAATGACAGGATAAAATGCATCTAGGTGACATCTGCCTAGGTGCAGTGACAGGATAGAGGACATCTAGGTGACATCCGCGTAGGTGCTGTAACAGGATAGAGGGCATTCAGATGACATCCTCGTAGGTACAGAGACAGGATAGAGGACATCTAGGTGACATCTGCATAGGTGCAGTGACAGGATAGAGGACATCTAGGTGACATCCGCGTAGGTGCTGTAACAGGATAGAGGGCATTCAGATGACATCCTCGTAGGTACAGAGACAGGATAGAGGACATCTAGGTGACATCTGCATAGGTGCAGTGACAGGATAGAGGACATCTAGGTGACATCCACGTAGGTGCTGTGACAGGAGAGAGGACATCTAGGTGACATCTGCATAGGTTCAGTGACAGGATAGAGGGCATTGAGTCAACATCCATGTAGGTACAGTGACAGGGAACTTAGAAAGCACTTAAAAAAAAAAAAAAAGGGAGGGATTTTTGCTATCAGGTGTGTGCACTTGCCAGAGAGACAGAAGCAAAGGGACAGAAAGTGAGAATTCACCCCAAGGGGGTTGGCCATGCCACAATCCCTTCTCCTTCATTCTCCTCTCAGGATCTTGGGCACACACGCACACACGCTTAACATGAGGTTTAAGCCACCGGGTCCAGGACTTAAACCACAGTGGACTACATGGGAGTCCCGCCATGTAACCATTACACCATCTGCTGGTCCCTAGACTCTACATATGTATGTATTTTATTAAAATTGTTAATGAAAAATTATTTTAATACATTGCTTTGTGAAAACTGATTAGCCCCTCTGTGAAATGAAATTTTACAACCCCATCCTTGTGCATAAATGCCAAATGGATCAAACATTCTTGTGCTATAGGAAGACATTGCAAACCAGTAGTCATGGACAGGCACTAGAAGACTGCAGGCTGTATTGGAGTATGTGGGAGCTTCGCTGCAGTCATGTGGGAGTTAGTGGCATGGACTGACGTGGGCACCAGGAAGGCAGATTGTTAAGGACACCGAGTCTTCTCCCAAGGAAGTCTCAGTGACTCCAGTCAGATTCACTAACCTACAGACATACAGGATCATATCATTTGAAAAATCAGCTTTATTGGGCCAGCGGGTGGTGCAGAGGTGAAGGTGCTGGATCTCACAGAGCCAGCTACGTGGTTTGAGTCCCAGATTCAGCCGCTTGAAAAACATGCTGGGCATGTGTGCGTGCATACCCCAAATCCAGAGAGGAAACTGGAGGAAAAGGAATTGCAGCATGGCCATCCCCTGGGGAGGGGGTGATTTCTCTCTTTCTCCCTCTCTGGTGAATGCATACACCCTATAGAAAAACAAACAAACAAACAAACAAAAACAAACAAACGAAAAAAACCCAAAGAAACAAAAAATAAAAAACAACTTTACTGAGTTATAATTGACATATACTAAAATAGACCCATTAGACATAAGCAGCTCAAATTGTTTTGACCAATGGAGGTACACATGTAACTAGCACTGGAATGAAACAAAAAATAACATTTCCGTCTGTCCAGGGTGTCGTGGCACCCACTGTCACTAGGTGTGGCTCCCACTGTCACTCGGCGTGGCACCCACTGTCACTTGGCGTGACATCCACTGTCACTCGGCATGGTGCCCACTGTCACTCGGCGTGGCTCCCACCGTCACTTACTGTGGCCGGTCTTCTAGATTCACAGAATCTACATTCTTTATGTTAGGCTTTTTTTATCTACCACCATGTTTAGAAATTCACACCTGTTGATATTTGCATTTAAGCCTGTTTCAGCTTATTGTTAAATGTTAATTTTTTAAAAATTTATTTATGTTCCATGAGGTAGAGACAGAGAGCACAAGAGAGTGGCAGAGACAGTTTCCATACGTGTGTAGTGGCTTAATGGGTATTAGCCATGTGAAGTCGCCCATGAGGGCTGGAGTCAGCTCTTCATGGGATTCCCACCTCTCTCCTGGAGCATGGCTGTTCAAAAGAGAATTCTGTCCATATTGTTTTGATGAGAATTCCACTCTTCACATCCTTGCATTTAATTTAAACCATTCTAGAGGATGAGTAATGTGACAAATGTCTACATTATTTGGTGACAAATGGTAGTGATCACCTTTTCATGTGTTCATGGGACATTCTTATTAAATTTTGGTAAAGTGTTCAAATCTGTGTGCAATTCTTTTTGGGTTATTTGCATGTTATGAGGCCATGGTTGTTCATGGTAATAGGTCACATACAGGTGTTCTCATGTGCATGATTAATAGCATCAGTTAGAAGTTGGAAGGCTACATATATTTTTTTCTCCAAGTTTTGGCTTGCTTTTACATTCCCTTAGTATTTTTTTTCTCAAGAGACAAAGGTTTTAATTTTTATAAGTCAATATTATCAATTGTAAGTTTCATATACTATTTGGGACATGCACATCTTTATTCTAAATTCATGAATATTTTCTGTTTTCTTCTACAACTTTTCTAGTTTTATCTTTTACATTTAGGTCAAATACCATTCCTGGTGAATTTTTGCATGGCATGACATAATATTTTAATAATAATCTAATATCCTTTTTTTAAGATAGATTTTTTCCTATAAGATGCGTGTGACAGTCAGAGAGACAGAGAGAGTCAGAGAGCAAGAAATCACCCCCCAGTAAGTTTTGTCATGCCTTAATCCTTTCTCTCCTGAGAGAGGAGTCTCAGGATTTGGGGCACACGTGCACATGTGCCCAGCATGAGTTTCACACCTCTGGGTCCAGGACTTGAACTGCAGTGAGCATGTGGAAACCCAGTGAGGTAACCATTATGCCATCTGTTGGTCCTCAATATCCTTCTTTTCTGAATATATTTTCTATATGATTCTAATAAAGATAATCCTACTTCTATTATGTTGTCATGGTCTCCTTTTTTTTGAAAATTGGCTGTAAATCTTTTGGGTCTATTTTTGGATGCACTATCTGATGCATTTTGCTTCTATTAATGAAAATTACTCTGTCTCAACTATCACAGCTTTCCAGGTAGTCTCACACCTTTGCTTTGTTTTCAAAATTGCTTCATCTAATTCAAAGCTTTGGTTTCAATATAAATTTTAGACACAACTTATCATTTTTTTCACATGCATGTGTCTCCTGGGAGTCTGAGTCTTCTGACCCAAGATCATGATAGAACTCACCATTTACCCAGCTTTCATTAATTGCTCCTGAGACTATTTTGGTGAAAATTTTTTGTTTTCTTAATTTTGACAAAGGGTGTATGCTCTTGCCAGAGAGAGACAAAGAAAGAAAGAATGCAAAATAAATAAATAAATAAAAATAAAAATAAAAAAAAAGGAAAGAAAGAAAAAGAAAAAATAGAAAAACACAACAATCCCCCCCAAAACCTGCATGGGGTGTGGTCACACAACAATGCCTTCTACTTCATTTACCCTGTTTTCAGGATTTTGAGCCTGTACACACATGCCCAATGTGTTTTCCAGGACGCAGGGTCCATGACATATACCAGATGGTCAGCCACGTGATACTCAGCCACCTTGAGCACCAGGCCCTAATTTGTAGCGTTTTAAAACGTTGCTAGAGGGTGAGTGCTTGCTGGGGGGAGAGAGAGAAGGGCAGTAAGAAAGCACCCTCCATGGGGGATAGTGGGCAGGGCACAGCCCTTTCTCCTCCACTTCTCCTGTTGGGATTTTGACCAGGCATGAATGTGCCACCAGTTTTTTAAGCCACTGGGTTTAGGACTAGAACCATGTGATCTGGAGCTGTCAGTTGCTAAGTGGGCAGTGATAGTGGCTGCCCATGGGTACAGATAGGAGGTGCCACTACATGACCCTAAGCCCTGAACACAGGCCCAAGTCCAGACCCTGGTCGACCTGAATGTGCTGGGCCCACGCTCCCGGCTGTCTGGAAGGCCAGCACTGGTTACAGCATGGTGTGAGCCTGTCGAGGACATCTCTCCTCCCTCCTCTCTGCCTCAGTAAGTAGATAACCCCTGACAATATTCAGTGAGCTGTCCCGTAAACAAAAGGCCAGAACGGGAGAGTGGTTCAGTAGCCTCAGTTTTCTGAAACGGTAAGAGTATCAGGTTCGACTTAAAGCCTAGCAATACATCAGCCACCCCGGGTCAGCCGGCCTCGGAAACGTTGTCACAGGCGTTGCCTAGCCTCTCTCGCAGGGAAAGCTGTAGACCGTGTGTTCTGCCAACTCACTGCAAGGCTCCTTCAGGCTTGAAATCTGCTCTTCTGCACCTCCCTCCAATGGCCACCCCCGCTGCAGCTTCCCGGCATCAGAGCCGTGGCCACGGCC